CACGCGCGCTTGCAACGGATGTTGTGAACGGCGGGATGCGCCGTAAAAAGGCAGTGGGCGGAGCATGGAAGAATTAGCGTGTTTCACGGCCCTGTATCTCCATTCCCGGGCATGTTTGGGCGGGGGGACCACGACACATCGACATCTGGGGGCTGATAGTCTCATACACCCTCAATGTGTATGAGCGTACTATGTGTCTTTAAAACGTGTGAGTGCTGACAATCTCGTGACATAAGCCGTTAAGCTGAGAGGGTAAAAGCGGCCCTGGTGGCGTAACGGATAGCGCACTCGCCCGGAAAGCGTGAGGTGCGGGTTCGACTCCCGCCTGGGGCACGACTTTTGCCCACAACTCAGCATTCTTGTGATAACATTCGGAACGCGTACTGCGGCGTTAAACAGCAGTTATCATAACAAAACAGCTTCAATTGCAGAAAGCTTATAAGTTAATTGTACCAATGTTATTGTGTACTGTAACATTGCTATTGAGTCACAAATAGATTAGCGCGGTCATTCGGAGAACTCTAAAGCATTCCACCTACCACGCACTCAGGCTCAGGTTCATGGTTTGCAAAATAGACGTTGCGCAATCGCTCATCTATCGAAACGTAAGATTAACATGCATCTAATTGTTGGCAATTGCAAGCAAAACGATCACACAAAAGCCATTGTCGCGAATGAACGCTGATTGAGCAGTAAAAAATTATCGGAGCTGATGCATACCTCATCCTCTTCACCACTATCCCTGTCTTCCTCTCTGTGGCTGCTCTGTTGAACAAGGCGAGCGGAAGAGCCGTTATTCACCTGTGAGAAAAAGGGCTTATAATTCTGTAATCACTACATCCAAAAAAAATGAGAAAAAAAGGTTATGACACACTTTGTCAAGAAGATCTCTTGTCATTCTTGAACTGAGAGAGCCCAAAACGAAGTGGTGTGCCTGAAATAGACTAGTTATACTATCCAAACAAAACTATTCATCCAAATGATAACAGAACGAAACCATACAACAAGGCTAGAATTTTCTGAATAATATTGTCATCAAATGAAAATAATAACAATTGCAGGACTGGTTGAACACTGAGGAGAGGCGAGAGGAAAAATTTTGCACCCGCAGGCCCACACACAAGTTTCTTTACAACGCCGACTTTAATTGATAGCAGAAGCTGCTTCTTTCAGCAAAAAGTGCATCCAATTTAATGAAGTTGAGCTTCAAACCCTCCACAAAATTGGCTGAAATTTTGAGGACCATTTGATGTAGCTAGCAGATTTCCAGCTATATAATGTATCCAATCGCTTGAAGATTTATTCAAAAGATCTCTATGAAAGGACATATTCAAAAGCATTTTCAGAGAAGCTGTAAGGAGCTTGTACAAAGCACCGTCACTAATGGCCCTCTATTGCCCCAGTCTTTTGAAATCAGGGCAGGTTTACCGACTTTTCTTTCCATGGATACATCTGCCTGAAAAGTTGTCAGCAGAGGTATTCGGATGCGGACGAATACCTCTGCTGACAACTGGTTCTGGATATTCACCACCTTAACACGAATACCGCATCCGCCTGGCTCGAGACCGCCTTGACTACCGAATTCGCTGAAGAGTTGCCACCAGGGGTAGTTTCACCTCCTGAACATAAACATCACATTCCCCAACCGCCCGTCTTCCAGGGTATGGCCTCCCATGCTTCTTTTAAGCCCGCCCCGTGCAGTGTGGATTCCAGGTGATTTCGTGTCAAACAGTGTGCTAGAGCACCTATAGAAATGACGAGACCAGACAGTTCCCTTCTGGTTGCCTGTAGATGGGATCACTACTAGAGGGCAGAATGCTGACATGCAGAAGCAGGCTGCGTTGTTGCGTGTCCCCCCCCCATACTTGGCTCCCTTGGAATCGCATTCAGATAAGGTAATTGTCAAGGCTTTGGCGCAGGCGCCCGGGCGAAGGGTACAAGGGAGTCTCGGACCAGGAGGATGCGATGTTTGTGTTAAGCAGGCTAAGACCTCCGGAAACATGTTTCCAACAAAATCTGTCTTCGTGAAAGAAAGTCGTCAAGAAAACTGCTTGATTCTGGAAGGGAAGGTCGTGAGGGGCAACAAGCACCTTCCGCAGAATCGATTCGGAGTGAAGAGTGACAGGAAACACTCTTAAAATCTCAGTGAACTCACCGCTAGAAGTTTGTCAGGCGATGGTCGCTTTTTCGGATTTTTAGTGAGGCACTGACGAACGAAATCATGAAATAACGGTGACCTAAACATTGAATTTGCAGGAAATGAAGTGAGGATCAGAAGCATGCTAGGATTAAAACAATGAGATCAAAAATTCTCCGATAATGATGAGTTCACTGACCACCGATGCTTCTCCTTGAGATGGGGTGGCTTATAATTGCTTCTCGTCATCAGATAAAGAACCTAAAAACCTCCTATCATGTCTAACTGCAGGGATCTTGAGGAACCTCTCATTGTGAGCCCCTAGGAGCCCCTTTCATCGCCATAACAATTCGTAAGAGCTATACAAGTACCTGCATTGGATGAAGATCGAATGCTGGCGGTTGGCACTCTGCCAACTCAATAGCTGTGATCCCAACTGCCCACACATCACACTGAACACCATAGCCACCTCGCCTTTCAACACACGCCACCTCAGGAGCCATCCTGAAAAGACGGGAATAAGAAGAGGTATTTCCAAAGAGAAAAAATGTAGAAGATGAAGATGAATATTGAGCTTACTCACCAATAGGGGGTTCCTATGAAAGATTTCCGCTTCCCTATTGTTGCAGTTATTTGAGCGGCAACACCAAAGTCCGCTGTAAAAGTGGTGAAATACAGTACTTAGGACTTGTACGATAAGGGAGGGTTCAGAATTCACGATGACGCGCAACAATTGCAGCAGCGCTTTAGTCCCATAGACGCACACGCAGCTGCAGACGGAATCGATCAGCGCGGGCCGCTTGTGTTTTGAGAGAAAGTGGTATAGAATAAGCGGAGGGCAAGCCCCACTTCACACAAGCTGCTCTTCTATACTCTACAAGCCCTAGTGCCAGTACCGGTCGATACCAGATTGCATGGCTGATGGCCGGGGTCAACCGATTCCCTTCTGCGGCTGCGTTCGCGTCTCTAGCATTGGAGCGATTGTAGGCGTCGATGCGCATTATAGCACGTCGTCTCGCGTCTTCGTGAAGTCTGAACACTGCCTGAGCGAGAAAATGCATACCTAGTTTCACATCACCACCATGTGTCAGAAGTATGTTCGCTCCTTTAATATCTCGATGGACCTAAACAAAACTAAGGGTACGTAAGAATCAGGAGATCATGAAGTAATGTCTCTGCAGCAAACAATCGCCAAACAAAAATCGTACCTTTCCCATTTTATGAAGATAGTCTAGACCCTTAAGTGTTTCACGGCAGACGAAAGCAATTTGAAGCTCAGAAAGTGGTCCAGTCACTGAAAAGTCAACAATGAACGTTCACGTAAGCAATGAAGCAACATGAGACACCGAAAAATGCGCCGCGAAGGCCGTGGAACAGGCGCAAGTCGGCTTAGTGGGAATCGTAAAATCCTGTCCTGATATCAGGCACTTATGAAAAAACCTGTAAATTCCCGTAAAAGTGTAGAGAGCTATCGAATTCATTTTGTATAACCCCTCTACACGGCGCGGTTCACAGTACTGTGAGACCTTTTGTGTTACGTCAGAGTAACTCGCGATATTCCTCGCCAATTGGTGGCTATGGAGATTTAAGTGACAGGAAAGCTGATAGCGAGGCGAAAGCGGCAGTGGCACGCTTACCACGCGCCGCTCAGGGATCAAATCCCGGATGGGCTCCCGCCCCGGCTATCAAGCCCTCTACCTTATGGAGACGGTAAATTGGTATCAGATTAATCTGGGTGGAAAAGAACACTGACTTGTGCATCGACTGATCCTATCAAATCATTGTATAGGCCGGGTCGCACTCAACAACGCACTATGATTTTGAATAAAAGAAAAATGTGTGCCGCATCCAGGAGTTGATTGATTAACGACGGAGACTATCTTTCATTTTTAATGTAATGGTACCTCGAAGTAGGCAAAATAATCTGGGAATGGTGACAAGCTTGCGAAAATGATTCCAACTTCTTACGAAATATGACAACCGAAACTTTTGTGCAAAGGTGTTGGTACACCCACACCGAAGCTCCTTTGTCCCTAAGTCTAGGCAAAATTTCAGTACTCCTGGCTCACAATACATCACTGGCATATTTTAGCACTGAATGCCTTTCAATACATGAAAAAAAGATCCGAGGAAATATCGTAGAAGTCGGATCCGTAACGTTTTGCAGCTTGTAGAAGTCTGCGGGACTGCACAATAGTGGTCGGTGCTTGAAAAATGGCTCCACTAAGCGAATATGGGCCTCAAATCGTTTTTTAAAGGAAACGGAAACTAAAGTCAATTAATACAGTGTTCGTAATGACCTTGCACCTGCTGTCTCCAAAAATCTATAAATCCTAGCACCCCGCTGAGAAAAGAATAGGAACTCGTTCCCATTCCAATTTTCACCCTTTTCAGCTGGAAACGATCAGCTGTCTCAGTCAAAATGTGAAATTTATGCTACAGTAGGGGCAACACCACAAAGAGCTATTCATGTGGAAATGATGGGAAGCTGATTTTTCACGGAAAGGGATTACAGAAGAATGCAAGAAGCGTTTAGGAGGGGGAGGGCATTGTGCACTTTCGCCGCTTCTCTTTGCCGTGTCTAGTCGTGAAGTAGAGATGTGGGTAATCTTGTGAAGCCATCAAGCGGTACAAGTTGTGTCTGTAGAAACTACTTGTCAACTCTTGTAAAACAATAAACACGACAACGGGAAGCAGAGAAAGTGCAAAATGCCCCCCCCCCACTGGTTGGACTAAGCCGAATCGACCTATAAGGGCAAGAATCATGTTAGTGAAAGCCAAATGAGTTGAATATTGCAGCGAGTTTCATCACGTTTCAGCCACTGGATACAAGCGTTCCTACTGAAAGTAAAGGAGTGGTGTGTCAGTGAAGCAATCCCTATTGTAATCCTGAGTTGTTTTGTATTGATACTGATATTTATATGATTTATGCAATAATTTACTTTCATAGCCACAATTTTAAAAGGTTCTAAATAGAGGAACCCATTTGGTCATCCAATGGGACAAGGATTATATAAAATCGAATGAGCTGCGCTCCAACGGGGCACTTTGGCGAGGGGGGTGGCACTTTAGCTGCTTCACTAGTTAGTTTGCAAGTCTCCCACTGGCTGAAACTGCGAGTTTTTGTAAAGCCAGAACAGAGTCGTCGAGTCTCTACAGTGAATAGTATTTCCATGTTCTTCCACTGCATTAAAAGAGTTGACAGGTGTTCTCTACAAACCGGTTCATTTCGCGGCTTCATGAGATTTCTCAGGTCTTTATCTCATGGCTCGACACGTCGATGGGAAGTAGCGAAAGGGCAAAATGCCCCTCCGCCGCCGAACTGCGCTCGGCCGAACTTTTTCAAAAGTGAAGAGTCAAATTACAGCATGCCGCGACTTTAAGACTGCTGTATTATTAAAGTGCAATGGACACAGAAAAATGGCACACGACTCTCATGAGAGTAGAAAACCCAGAACGAGCGATCATATGATTACAGCAATTTATTAGGGCTCATTATGATCGTGAATTTTCCCAAGGGATAAAAAATTTCGAAAAGTACTCCCCAATGCCACCATGATTCTCACCTGTACGTGTATGGCAATCTAAGAGAATTGAGGGAGGAATGTAGAAAGCGCTCATACTTTACGACAGCGTAGTGAGCGTTTGAGAAAGTATAGGTGTAGACTGCCACTCAAAGCACTCGTGGACGCCAAAAAAAAGGTGAAGGCGCGGAACTCTGACGCTCCTAACGCTCAGAGCTGGTGGACGCTAAAAACGTTGGAACCATATGCTATCCGAATCGCTCAAAACGCTGTCGCAAAGTATGAACACACTTTAAAAAGAAGAGAATTAAGAAACAAAAAAAAACGCGGGAAAGACGTGATCCCGTGACTGATGCTTTACAACGGATCAAAAAAAAGTCCAATACGTAGACACAAAAAACCACTGTCAACAGCAAGAAAAAAAGACATTGGCGCTAAAATTTGCCAAAAATGAATCCATATGAATGTACTTACTGTGATAAATATCCTGAAGCGATCCTCCTCCACAGTACTCCATTACGATCCACAATCTATCGCGACGTAAATAACTCCCATGATAGGCAATAATATTTGGATGTGAGCATTCACGTATCATTAGAATTTCCTGTTGAATAATGGTGAAATTGTCGCCGGCTTCTAATTTGACCACTTTGACAGCCGACAATTCTCCCGTCCTGAAAAAATCACATAGGCTGCGTTCACACCCTACGAGGTTGTAGCCGACGTCGACGTGAGCGACGTAATCTGCGACAGACGATTAGATACATATCGATCGATGTCGTAAACATCGTTTACGTTGATCCATACGTACCCAATCTTCTGTCGCCAATTATGTCCATTACGTCGAGCCTTAGTGTAACACTGAAACACTCGCAAAACCTCAAAATATCATGAAAGCATTTTCCTATTATCGCCTTAACAACATCCAAATAAGTATCCTCTGAATCATATAAAGGGGTTCTACAATTAGCTGCAATCGAGCTTACCTTACATGACGAGCTTTGTATACTTCACCATAAGTGCCAGAGCCGACCCGTTGTAGGAGTTCGTAATCATCGGCAGGATTTGCCCGTTTGATCACTTCCGAACTCATTATGTGGTGTTCTTCAAACAGCTCTACTTCTGGAGCTGTTGAGCATCACCCTCCTGCAATTTGCACAATGAATCAACCACCCATGACGTTCCACAGGGGACCAAAGATGAAATCAGATGGAATGACGAGGAAAAAAGCGATCGAAAACGTCACGAGTCATGGAAATGACTAGTCGGCACCACGACGGCGACAACAACAACAGCGGTACGGCCAGCGCGATCTGCAGTATTTCTGCAGCCGCCGATTTCGGATGCCCCGCCCAGGAAAACTCGTCGTACGGCTCGATTCGTCAGACGAGAACTTCAAGTGCAAATGGGCTTTGCCGAATGGCAAGTGGTCGCGTCGCGGCCGTCGCTTTAGAGCGCTTTATTTGAGCGCGTGGATTTAGGGCTAATCAGGAACTTTCCTCCTCTTCCTTCTACCTTAATCCTCCCTCCTTTTTCTTGGTTTCTCTCTCTGTCCTCATTATTTTTTCCCTTCGATGCTCGCCAGAACATGCTATAAAAAACCACTGCTATCACCTCAAGCTCCTCTTTGGATGGTTTTCGCAGACATTCTTATACAGCAATGAAGGGCGCTGTGCGGCTTTGAAGGTCAGCATTCCGCGTTTTCGCTGATTTCTTTTGCTAGTCCATATTACCAAAGTTGTTCCACTTTGGTGAAATGCGTAAACTCCTGTAAAGCTGCGAAATAGTGCAAATGACTCTTTTGTGAAGGAAGTTACAGGTTTTGAGAAGGTGGCGTGTAGAAACTTGACTGAGCCCAGGTTACGCCCCACCAAGCGGGACCCATGAAAGTTTTTTTTAAAGCAGGACTGGTCTTTTGCCGAGAATGTCCAAGCCCATTAGTGGGTTTCCGATCGTTTCGAAGGAACAGTAAGTTAAGCGTTTCTCAGGGAAAGTGAGATCACTTTTTTACTGTTATTATGCTACATGTTACTCCCCGTATTGATCACTACGAATAATATCCACCAATTTCACATAATGGAAGCTTGAATAAAACGACTAGCAGTTACTTTCGCAGTTCTATTCGGTACAGTCAGGGCACTCGCATGTTGGGGATCCCTAGCAGGGGGGGGGCGAGGGGGAGGGGGAACAGCTTCAACTTTTCTTGATATCCCGTTTCAAGTTTCCCCCGTCTGCATACCCCTCTCTACATTCGCGCTTGGGGGGGGGGGACGTTTTGCGGGAGGAAAGAAATTAGGAAGATTGTAGGTAGAATGGAGAGTGGAGAACAGGGTCGCACCACAGGACCCCATTTGTTGGAAGGGAGGTCGTATTTTACAGAGATACCCAGCCCAGAATGCCTCATAGCCCAGGCTGGGCCGCGGTTGTGCGTGCATAAGGCGAAGAAGGGGCGTGGTCGGATGAGTTTTTACGCTGCTGCCTCCCATTTCTCCTTACCGCCTCATTCTCACCATTCGCAATGGAAAGAGCCAGTATTGGATATATCATGCAATCGCTATGGTAGCTAAAAATGGAAGTTAGGCGTTGCCGTAGCCAGTAGGCGGAGTCTTGGCCTAGTCACGAACGGGTCGCATTTCCTCATGTATTTTTGAGCAGCGGAAGTAACAATGTTTCATACAGGACTACCATGTTCAAGAAGGAGTCAGCGCATTGAATGAATGGTGGCCGTTGAGGTTCATTGAAGCGAACGATCCAAAAAAGCATAGATAGCGGTTGAGTTTTTGGCTATGTTCTTCTCTACGGGGACCTCATTGCACCGCAGCTAAGTACTAACTCTGAGGACTGCGACTTTGAGAAGAATAAGACCAGAGCGCCGGTACCGGGACCGAGTCATCTGCACACAGCATCGATACGCTATGTCGGGACTTTTTACATCACGTGCACTCTTCTATCTTTTCATCCACATCTTATTGTGTGTATCGGGGCAGAATCTAGGGCGGAACCATTTTTTCAAGAACGGCCGAACTTTCGTTTGAAATGCTCGACAATACTGGAGAAAAGATGACATCTTCGTAACACCACTTCTGATGGAACATGGGATTTTTCACGGGCGCTGCGCTAATCAGGCACGTGATACGTTAGGGAAGTGACCAGGAAGGGCTCGTATTCGGTCGGTCGAAATAGGAAAATTCGGCACTATTCAACTATTACTACCCCAGTTTTCCGAAAACGGGCTGGATCTTGATCGACTTTTTTCTACGGGGGCAGATTTGGCTGAAAGTTGGGTTCTAGGGGTAATTCGACCTGCTGAACACGAATATCACATCCGCTCCTCCCGAAAATGCCTGGCGCCCGCGCCACAGGCGCCGGCGCCAAAGTACCCTGGATCACCAAATCCGCTGAAAACTTGTACCCAGGGGTAGTTCGACCTCCTGAACACGAATATCACATCCGCTCGGCCTGAAACTGCTCGAAGATCGCGCCACGGGCGCCGGCGCCAAAATGCCCCAATACGCTGGCGCCTGTGGCGCGGGCGCCATGCACTTTCAGGCCAGATGGATGTTATATTCGTGTTCAGGAGGTCGAATTACCTCTATAACCCGAATTTCAGCCAAATCCGCTTTCGTAGAAAAAAGTCGATCAAGATCCGCCCTGTTTTGGCAAAACTGGGGTAGTAATAGTTGAATAGTGCCAAAATTAATGTGATACACGATTTCTCCTGCTCCGTGACCCTCACCCCCTTGTGGCTGGTAGATGTCCAGTAGACAACTGAGAGCGCGTTCTGCCTGCTGGATGCATTTTGCTGGCTCTCATTATTCGTTGCCAATGCCCCCTGTGAAGACCTGGAAATTCCTGTGAGTGATGCAATAGCAGAAGCTTCTTTTGCACTTGACAGGAATCTACAGGTCCTACGAAGGTGTGACGTAATTCAACAGGAACTAGCAAAAGGATTTGGCGAACGTTCAAAATGCTCCCCCGAGCCGGACAAAGTCTAATGGAGGTGTTCGAACCCCGCATGGTAATGTCATAGCGTTGTGAAAATAGCCTTTTTTTTTCTTGGCGTCGACGACCTTTGACAATGTCCAAGGGCTTAAGCAGCAGGAAACATGCTGCTACTCTATGGTATAATAGTTTCCAAGCCGCTATTGTTGTGTTGCGAATGGATTGGAGCGATTGTGAAGCGAAATAACTTCCGGGGCAGCCCCTAAGAACCCCTTTCAGGAAATGACAACGGCTACAACTAAATAGGTCTGATTCAAACACAATAGAGTAAAATGAAATCGGAACACAATAGCCTCTGAATGTTGAAAAGCCGGAAGCCTGAAGAACTTCTGCTGCGGACCAGCGCTTTTGGAATGCATTCATACCTTGCGATGCTAAGGAGGACTTCTTTTTCCGGCCCCTTTCGCACCACAACCCGATCATCTTCCGTGTAGGGGCGGCAAGAGGCGTGACTGCTTATCATATGCTGCCTTTTTTCTTTTACACATGCAATTATTATCCCTGAAACAAGAGAGCATTAAAAGGCATGGACTGGAGCGCAGAGAGGGCAGTTTTTTCCCCACTATCGGCTGCTGGCTCAGTATGCCATCGTGGAAAAGGCCATCCTGTCTGCGCTGCCGTCCCCTCACACGCCCCCTCGTTTGCAGGGATAATGACTGTAAGTCTGTGCCCTCTGTTGCGTGGGCCCTCGGCATTCACGCAGCCGCGCTTCTTAGCCGAATACACAGACTCTTAGTTCATGGTGGCAGTGTGAAGCGTGAGAAGCGTCAACCAGTTAGAACTTTTAGCGGACCAGCGGTGCAAACTATAAACGCGGCCTTAATTATCATTCAGAGTTGCCGGAGCATCGCAGAATCGGAGAATCTGAGATCGATACGTATCGATTTTATCTTATATGGTGAATTAAACTGTGCGATCCCACAGAGAGAAAGAGCACACTAAGCTGGTACGGGTCACTCTTCCCAGTGACAAGTCTCAGGGATCCCTCTAAACTGCCCTCCGGACTAAACTGCCTTCCTGACTTTCTCGTCTGGCTATCTCTTGTTGAGTTCTGCGAGGTCAGTTACATCGTACTAGGCTTAATCTGACCATAGCTGAAAATTCAGCTTGCGAAGGCTTCATTGGCCCACAGATGGACAATGATGGGCCAAGACGACACCGTTAGTCAAAAGTGCACCGGAATTCGCAATAATTTTCCATTTCCTTCATCGAGGGGGATTTTTAGTGAATCAATAGGACTGATAAAGAACGGGTTTCACAGGCACTGTCAGCTCAGCCATTAATCAAACGGTCAGTTTGCTTAGGCGATTCATTGCCAAGTTCCCCCTGATCGCACTTTTAGAACGTTTCCCTTATTCAGCATCTCCCAAGTGCTGTTTTGAGTAGGAAAACTGATAGATCTAGCGGGACTGTGCCGCTATCTTTATTTTTTCTGTTCTAGTCCTTCGAGCTCGTTATCCATTAGCTATTTGTAATCCTATCGTTTATTTTCTGAAACAAGAAACCAAACGCTATGACTGCTGTGCAGGTATTGGCGCTCGAATAGGGATTTCCCCTGATGCCGTAGGAAGACGCTTGTGCAGTAATTGGCTTCAATCTGGTGATCCAGAAGCGGCTAGGCAAAGAATCAGCTTGAGCACTAATTAGACTGGCTTCTTCATCAGAGAACAATTATCCCTTTAGCAGCACTTCAGAGAACCTGCTACAGCTGATTGAGGAAGACTTCAATCGACCTGTTCCTCACACTACAACACTAGCATCCCCTACGAGGAGAGTTGAGTTCTAATACATATTTCAGGTGGGGAAGGGGCTTAACACCTCCGAGTTTTCATAAAATCAGCACGAAACAGCAACGTGCTAATTTTATGAAAACTCGGAGGTGTTAAGCCCCTTCCCCACCTGAAATATGTGTTAGAACTCAACTCTCCTCATACAGGATGCTAGTGTTGTAGTGTGAGGAACAGGTTTGATAGTTATCGAGAAATTGGGCTTCAATCTTACGTAATCACCCATAATAGATCATGAGAAACACAGAAGCAGATGGAAATGAGACAGAGTCAGGATCAAGCTGGAGGATATGTCCTGTCGAAAGCAGGCCACATAATTGGTTGAGGATTTTAGTCGAGTCCGTACGACCCCCTCCTTTTTTGGGGGTTGGTACGACCCCCCTCCCGGCCCTCTGTCCCTCCTCATCGAATCGAGCCGTCGAGCGTGGGGATCAGCTATCAAAATAAATTTTTCTCAGCCCAAATACGACCCCCTCTCCTGGCGGCCAAATACGATCCCCCTGTTGGGGATTCCCCAACAACGATGTGCCCTGACGAAAGAGGCGCTGTCGTGAAGACAGGATACAGCAAGCATCCCTCATGACCTAGCCAACGCTCTTGCACTTTAACTAGAATTTCCCGTCTAGTGGAGGGTGAGAGAACATCCTCGATAGTCCTATACCGATGGCCTACGCCTTGACAAGAGTTTCAACATTTCGACTGACCCTCTCAGTGGTGTGGTCCACATCTGTCCTCTCCACCACAACCGATAATTTCTATCGATTTGATTGATCGTTAACGGTTGGCTTTATTGTTAGATTGATGTATCCATCACATCGTCTTTAATTATTATCAGTTTGATTGTTCTGCAGCACGAACCTACAATCCATATCTGAGCACAGAAGGAGCGCTTCCAAGCGCGTTTGTGGGCGTGGCAACGGACACGAAAGCCCACGCCGGAGAGAGGCAGAGATATAAGAAAGGAGAGTCGGTAAGGGAATGCGCTGTCGTCGCCGGAACGTCCCTTTTGCTCTTCGATATGGATCGCATATCATATCGTATCCTATAGGAGCTAATGTTGCAGGATTTCCGAACTATCACTATTGTTTGGAAGGACCTGGTGTAGCTGTGCATAATTCTGCTGTTCGACTTGGGAGGGCATTTTGCATCTTTATTTTATTTCCTAGTTCTTGTTAAATTAAAGGTCCCACTCAAATGAAACCTGTAGACTTGTTCTTGTGTGTAGAAAAGAGAGAAGCTCGTCTGTTCGCTCTTCCAAAACTTACTGACAACGTTTCAGGCCTAAGGCTGCGTTTATACTTTGCGGCAGCGTAGCGTAGCGCTTCCAGCGTTTCACTAGCGTTTCGCTAGCGTTTGCCAGCGGCGGGGCTAGAGAGTATAGAAGAGTAGGAGAGTATTTTGTACTCTCCTACTCTTCTATACTCTCTAGCCCTGCAAACGCTAGCGTGACGCTGGGAACGCTAGATCGATATCCATCCTTTCCCCGACACTGCCGCTGGCGTACGCTGGAAGCGCTACGCTGCCGCAAAGTATAAACGCAGCCTAAGCCCTTCTTCAGGTCACTGAATTACGAAAGTTACTCATGTTTTGCGCATGTACAATGTTAAATATAATATGAAACTTAGACGTAGTTGCACTTTACACCAATGTTGATACCCGAAGAGCTGTAGAAGCATGTATGCATCTTTTGCGTCCATCACCACCATCAGCTCCAGCTTTTTGGTCTTGATGTTGAGGACACTGGAGAGCTCCTACGAAACGTGGTGAATGTGAACATATTCCGCTTCAGAAACATCTTCTTACAAGCAGACAAGAGGACTTGCCATGGGTAGCAGACTGGCTCCACTACTAGCAATAATATTTATGGATAGCCTTGAAAGAACGGCCTTGTCATCCGGAGTGTTATACTTTGGACGATATATCGACGACAGTTCCATCGTCGGAAGATCACGGACAGCCTTTACGGCAGACTTTTGGAAAGCTCATCCGGTGTGTCAGTCGACAAAGCTGACAGCTGAACGTCCTCCCGCTAATGGATTGCTCCCATTTCTTAACACCAAGATCAAGATTACGGAAGGTCGCATCAACACCATGTGATACAAGAAAGCGGCATCACAAAACATCTGATTTACGCGAGAGACTGCCATCCCCTCCACATGAAGGTGAACGTGGTTCGCCATATGATCTCTGAGTGAGCTGACCTCTACGAATCATGAAGAAATGGAGAGAGAAGTTGAGAATATTCTACGGCAGAATGGATACAGGAACAGCAACTCCGTTGCTGGAGACCATGCCGATCACCTTGTGGTACTCCACTCGTGTTGCCTTTCATCAGCGACTCGTTTGCGATTGATGTTAATAGATCAGGGCTTCCAATGAGCCTGATCTTTCGACCACCTCTCACTTTACGACGCCTTTTAACATCATCGCGACCCTATGAAAGTCGCTGTGAAAGAGCAAACTGTCAGATCTGTGGAGAGCACAAGGTGTGTCAAGAAAAATATGTAGTGTACAAGGTGGTGTGCCTTTCGTGTCATGAATTTTACATCGGAGAAACATCAAGGCCACTACACAAGAGAATGGAGGAACACATAAGAGCTCTGCGTAGTCCACAGAACTACGCTGATAATCCATTCTCGAACATCGTACACTACGGCATGCTCAGGAAAGACCGCCCGAACTTCGAGTCTCCATTTTGCACAGAAATGTGGTTGATCCCGTTGAGAGAAGAATAAGAGAAGCGTTGGAAATTAAGCAGCAGAACCCACCGATCAACAACAAGGAGGAGATGAGAGTGGCAATGAGTCTGATATCAGTGTAGGACGTGCACTAAGATCCTCCTACATTGTACCTCCAACATCGCTGAGCCACAGTAGGCGTGGCATTAGAACATGGCACGGAATTGGTTACTCGTGGAATATTCCAGTCTGGGACAACTGTCATCTTGTTCTGTGTTGGACAGAGACACGACAACAATTGTGTCAAGATGAAAATATCTCACCAGAAGCATAGACACCTTCAGGTTAAGTTGAAACATGCGGCCACGCCTACCCGATCTCAGGGATTTCGAGTATATATGCTCAAAACCCTACCACTCCCCAATTTTGCCTATATCCGCATAGGAAGGCTAGTCAACCCCTTCCTCCTCATCACGGACAATTCGCTGTAGGTTATGCCGTTTCATGATGACTGTTGATGCTGTATTGTGCATGCGCGAAATATGAGTAACTTTTGTAATTCAGTGACCTTGAAGAAGGGCTTAGGCCCGAAATGTTGTCAATAAATTTTGGAAGAACGAACAGACCAGCTTCTCTCACTTCTTCACGCAAGAATAAGTCTTCTTACAATGAAGCTCGGAGAACCATCTAGTTACATGAAACCTTTAGACGCTTGTCAAGTGTAAAACAGGTCCATGCTATTGCACAGCTTTAGAGGAATTAACTGGTCTCCCTAAGAGGCATCGGTAGCGATCAACGGAGACCAGCAACATGTCCCCCACCAAGCCAAACTGGGCCGTTCTCCCTTCACTTCAGCGTACCTTTTGAGCACTCAGCGCTACAACTAGAAAGCAACTACCATTTTCAGGTACTACCTAAGTAGCCGTGATGGATTTGAACGACGTTGAGAAGTTACTGGTTGCCTATATGGGCGTCGATTCGACCACCGGCAATGAAGGTCTGACTGCTCTGTTCTTTGTTGTCGACTTGTCCTAAAAGATACTCCTGGGCTGGAAAAACTTTTTCCAGCTCTGAAAGACACAACTATTTTTATCGGATTTAAGTCACTTTTCATTCTTTGACAGGGATCCTGTTCACAGTTCCAATATTTAAAGGAATTGTTACAGGGCCGTTTGGTGATTTTGTGGCCGAAAGTCTTCGGGACAACGGATGGATTGTCGAGAAGCAGGCCCTTGACAATAACAGTTCACGCTTCAACATTCTTGCTACCCGCAAGCCTCTGAAAGGAGCACGTATGACTGAAAATTCCCATTCATCGTCATACATTTAGATAATTCGGAATTCAGTTCAAGTCAATATCAAATTCGTTTAAGCATCTCGAATTGTCTTCAACACACATCTCGACACAGTGCCTCCCTATATTCCACCAAGGGAGGACGACATGAACATATATGGCCGTGGTTCGAATGACGCAAAAGGTTCGAGAGCACTTTATTTGTTTTCAGTTCGTTCTCGTGCTATCAAATGTTGGCTTTTGAGGACAACTCGCGTGCATGGTCTCGGCTGCCCAAGCCTTTGGTGAACTCTCATCCAGACCTTGCTGATCAACTTGCTCTTCTATTTGTCGTTGGAGAAGAAGTCGATCATGTAGGAATGACGGTGAGGTCGGACCTTTGGGTCATTAATCTTCAAACCGCTTCCTGCTCTGCGATGTCGGCAATTCGAGGAGAAACTGCAAAATTTCTGGAAAAGAGGAAGAATGCTAGATGGGACGGTGGGAGAACCAGGAAGTTGGAAGGTAGGATGGGCGACTGGGGATCGTAGCGGGGAGGAAATTTGAAGATGGTGTTGTCACGCCGCCATTTTTCCCATCCCGATGCTGTACCCTTTCCGAGACCTGGCCTCCGCACTGCCCATACGCCACATGCCACTGCACCACCTCGCTGCATCAAAACTATTAGGTTGTCCGGAAAGTTCTCAGCGTTTTGAGTGTTTCACTTTAAACGATCATAACTTTCTTAATACTCATCGGATTTAATCGAAATAGGCACCGTTCGAATCAGCACACTTTTGCCAATGTGACACCAGTCGATAAATCCCATCAAAGAAAAAACTGGGTGGTCGAGAATCCACGAAGGCTTTTTTGCCTGGTCCTGATTGATGAAGTATTTTCCAGCAAGGAAGTTCTGAAAATGTTTGAAAAGGTGATAGTCGGTTGGTGAAAGGTCTGGAGAATATGGCGGGGTGGGCGTTGTCATGCAGAAGAATCGGACCCTTTCTGTTGACAAGTGCTGGCTGCAGCTGACGCAATTTTCGGTACATTTCGTCGATTTCTTCACAGTAGGACTCTGCTGTGATGGTTTGGCCTGGTGACAAAAAGTTATAGTGGATCACACCAGCCGATGACTACCACACTGTGACCATAACCTTTTTGTCGTGAGGATTCGGCTTTGGAAATTGCCTCAGGGGTCCGCCGGCATCCAACCACTGTCCGAAACGTCTCCTGTTATCATACATGATCTCCTTTTCATCACACGTGACAATTCGGTCCAAAAACGGGTCGTTTCTGTTGCGCAAAAGCAGTGAAGAAGAAACCTCGAGACGTGCCAATTTCTGCCGGTCACTCAAATTGTGGGGCACCCAATTGTCGAGTTTTTTCACCTTCCCAATGCGTTCCAGACCATCTGCAACAGTGGATTTGCCAACGCCTAGCTTTTCTGCAATCTCTCGAACTGTTTGGGATGGGTCAGCCTCCACAAACGCCTTCAAATCCTCGTCAGGTATTGCTTTAGGTCGACCGCTACGCTAGAGGTTCACCTTCAAGACCGTCGACGATGGTTCGCACGGTGCTTTCTCCAACACTATTGGGCCCCCACACCTGGTTAATTTGTCGAGCTGTCTCGACTGCGGATTGACGTTGAAGAAAAATATCGTCCGAAGTTGCTCTTTTGACATGCTTCAAAAAGTCTTGGGAAAAGGGGGTTTATCAAGCAATGGTGAAACGGCAATTATACCATCAGATAGCGCAAAGAATTCTCTTCAGGATGTACTACTGAGACGCAAGGGAGAATGAGTTTTTAATCAGCAATGAATGTACAAAAAATAGTAACAAAACGCTGAGAACTTTCCGGACAACCTAATAATACGCGAACCACTACCACTGCTTACGTCCCGGAAACCGCTCAGTTGCCACGTCAGTAGCAGGGCAGATTTCGGCGCCCCCTTTACAGACGCTGCGTGACGCCTTTCCCAATGAAAGTACATCTATAACGCCCTATAAAGTCCCAGCATACCGAACCAGACGCCCATCGCGCCCCTCCGCTCACGAGGCCCGACCGATGCTGATGCTCTCATCGCTTCATTTGCGAAGCAAAATATGAAGCGAAAGGACATATGAATATGAATATGAATAATGAACATGAAGTGGCGGCACTATTTACCCTTTACTGCCCCAGTCATCCGAAATCAGGCCAGTTCCTGACCGACTTTTTTCTCCGTGGGCAGATTTTGCTCAAATGTTGTCTCCTGGGGTAGTTTGACCTCCAGAATACGAATATCACATTCGCTCAGCCCGAAACTTCCTGGCGCCCGCGCCACAGGCGCCAATGATTTGGGGTATTTTGGCGCCGGTGCCCGTGGTGCGGGCGCCAGGAGGTTTCGGGTTGAGCGGATGTGATATTCGTGTTCAGGGGGTCAAACTACCCCTGGGAGCAAGTTTTCAGCGAATTTGGTGATTTCGAGTATTTTGGCGCCGGCGCCCGTGGCGCGGGCGCCAGGAGGTTTCGGGTCAAGCGGATGCAATATTCGTGTTCAGCGGGTCGAAGTGCCCCTGGGAGCAAGTTTTCAGCGAATTTGGTGATTTCGAGTTTTTTGGCGCCGGAGCCCGTGGCGCGGGCGCCAGGAGGGTTCGGGTCAAGCGGATGCAATATTCGAAGTAGATCGGAAGAGCGGGTCAGCA